TTAATAAAAAAGCTTTAAAAAATATACCGTTTATCCGACTCGAGCTTTAAGTTATCGATAGTACGAAATTATAATAAATCTTTGCAAGCAGCTAAATAAAAGAGCGTTTTTTTAGCGGTATAGATCAAAGAACACCGAGCTATCTATAAGTTAACGAAGATAAACGACCTTTACGAAACGACGAGTACATTCGCGATAAAAGCATTTTTAAAAGCTATTAGCGAAAAATAATTATTAACTTAAGCGTCGTTAAAACTCGCAAAAGTCATTCGAAACGACGAGCTTTTATTGCTTTAAAAGCGCACTTTCTACGATTACTTTAACTAATACGAAAGCTAAATCGAAAAGAAGATTAACAATCCGAACTTTAATTTCTTTAGCGTATTCGCTACTTTCGAAGATTAAACTATTCGCAGCACTTTCGAAGATAATAAAGTTAACGACACTGCTTTTAAGCAGTCCGGTAAACGCTCCGATAGCTTTAAAAGACTTGCTAAAGGTTTTAAGTGCTCGTGCTTTAAAAAAAGAAACTACTATTAAGACGCAATCAAGTGCAAGATCTTTCGCTATTGCTTTAACGGTCTTAATAAAAGTAAATTCGCAAAGCCGAACCGAGATAATATCGTCGCTATAAAGAAAAAGCTTTAAAAGCTTAAGTTTAAAGCGCTTCGAAAAGAAATTATTAAAAAGGGTTAAGCATAGATTCAAGTCGATAAGATCGTTTTAAAAAGCAAAGAAAAGCAATCGAATAATAACGATAAGTTAAAATACTTTAAAAAGGTATTAGCAGCTATTATCGATCTTAAGCTCTTTAGCACGCTCGATAATCTTGCTTTTAACGGTCTTTATAGCACGGTTAACAATAAGTATTAGCTATTTAATAGCACTCTTCTCGACAATTGCAGCGCTACTTACTTTGTTAACGATAAGAATCTCTTAAAGCCAAGGTCAATTCAACGCTTTCGCTTAATCGATTTCATCGAAGCTAAAACGAGTAGTTTCTTAATTGTCGAACGAAATACTAAAGTCTTTAAAAAAGCTTTGAACGGATTAAATAAAGCTAAGACGAAAGATTTAAAGTTAAAAAACGTCGTTATCGTTAAAAAGTTTAATATTAATATTATCTCGAAAGCTCTTTTAAGCAAGGCTAGCGTATAATACTCGAGATATAACGCAACTTTCCGCTATAAAGAAGTCAAAAAGAGCGTCGTTTTAAAAAAGTTAAAAAAGAAGTTCAACTTTACGTTCTTTAAATACAAGCTATTTAATTATTCTCTACTTTAATTGATTCGTAACTCTTCTTGCTTAATAATGTTTTCTACAACTTAAAAGCGCTTGTAAACACGCTATAAATTTTAAAAAAGCAATGTCTTTCGAGCTTTAAAAAAAGATTCATCGATACTTTAGCATTTACGAACAAGTTATCTAAGCAAAGAAGCGCTCGAAGCGCTAGCTTATAATGCTAGAAAAGTAAGACTTAAAAGAATTATTAAAGTTAAATATAAAGCATATGCTATTACGCACGCTTAACAAGTCATATCTCGCTGCACGTTAAACAATAAAGCAGCTAAGCTATTTTACAAGATCGCCTAAGATCTATTCGACTTTTTTAATAGTTTCGACGAAAGCAAATAATTATTAATAATTAAAGATAAATATAATAAGAAGCTATTCGGCTTTATATTAAAAGACAAGTTGCAATTGACGGTTATAAAAGTGCTAAAAGAATTCGAAGCATAAACGAGACGCAAATACGGTCTTTTAATAGCGGTTATGCGCTATGATAACGATTCTTCGATAATCGCAATCAACGTTATCGGCTCTACCGAATATCAAAGATAAGCGAAAAAGATTAAGATCGAGTTAAAACTTTTACTATCTTTTAATCACGAACTTAATAAAAGAGCTAAGAAGACTAAAAGAAAAGTAATAAAACGGTCTATTAAAATGAAAATAAAAGCAAAGCTCTTAAAAAAGCTTTAGCTTAAGACTACACTAGCCGTTATCTACTTTTATAATATAATACCGAAAGCGAAAAGCTTTATAAAAAGTCCGAATAAAATGCTATAGCTTTAGTTCAAGCAATATTTTAAATAATACGATCCGGCGATCTTTACACGAATCGACACCGACTTAAGACTAGATTATAGCGGTTTAATTACGTATAGCGCTCGTGCGTACTTAATAATTAAAGACCGAAAAGCTCTTCGTAACAAAAAAGCTTTTAAAGTCAAATTAAAAAGATATATAAGCTATTTAATTAAATATATAGCTTTTAACATATATAAAGTCTATATTCTTATGCTTTATAAAGTGATTGTTATACGCAACGTGACGTTCGATAAGACTTAATTTTATCTTAAAGACGAAAAAAAATCGATCGGCTAATCGATTAACAAGATCAAAAAAATGGTTATTAAACTAAAAGATATTAAAGACTTTAGTTAAACAAAAGACGCTTTGTCTAATATAAAGAACGTTGCAAAAGATCGCTTAAAAGAGACGAATGCAGTTAATATAAAAAGTGAATAGCCGTTAAACTTAATAAAAGTTAACTTAAAAGGATTTAGTCAAAGCTTAAAGAATGCGACTTTATTTAATCCGAGCGATATACAAACATCAAGAGTTCTAACTCTAATTAAAGACTTTATAAATACGTTTATACTAAAAGCAACTGCTTTACGAAACGATCTAATAGACTTTAACGATTTGAATTATACCGCTAAACGTCTCGCTAGCTTTTTAATTAAAAGCAAAAGCGAAAGTGCTTTAAGATTGCTAAGAGCAAAGAAAAGCACCGTAGACGAGCAAAAACTTAGCTTTAATAAAAAAGCGCGCAAATCATACTTTTAAGTTGTTATTTAAAGCCGAGGCTCGAAAGGCCAAGTTATAAGCCGACCAACGAAAGCTTTTACGTCGATAACCGGCGGAAATTCAAACCGAATAATTAAAAAAGAGCTATTAAACCTTTTTAAAGCGACTATTAATAATAAGAAATTAAACTATAAACATTCTAAATAAAATTCCGACTTTAATAAAAAGCATTCATTTATTAATAGCCGTATTAAAAAACGCGCAAAGATATACGCAAGTGTTAATAAGCTTTTATTAAACAATTCTTGCGCCGATTCAAACCGCTATTCGCGCGTTTTAGATTTTGTATCGACTTTTTAAGCTAATAACGAACTTATGCGCGAAAATAACAAAGATTACGAGATATTACACGCTATAATAACAGCTGCTATTTCGTTTAAGCTATTATTAAAACAACTTAACCCGTAAGAACGAAAACATTTAAAACCTTTTACTTATTAAAAAGAGCTACAACGACACTTATATAACAAAGAGTTTAAAGACGGAGCTTTTATAAAATTAAATAATCTAAAAAAAAAGAATTGTTAGAAAATGATTCTCGAAAGCGAAGCTAAATCAAAACTTATACTTTTTAAGTAAGTGTTTATATATAAGACTAGCTCGTTCGAAGAGATTGTAAAGTTTAGATCGAAGATTATAATTAAAAGCGACTTTTAAGACGAGTCTATTATCTATTCAACTTACGCTGCTACGCTAACAGCTAGATCGTTTAAAATAATAATAATTATAGCAGCCGAATTTAATTTAAAAGTAAAACAATTCAACGTCGTTAACGCTTTTATTAACGTTATAAAACACATAGACAACGTCTTAATCACGTGTTATCTTTTTAACGGTTTTAAGCAAAAAAGTATACTCGTAAAAGTCGATAAAGCTTTATATAAACTTAAAGACTCGCTAGCTTTATAATATTTCGACTTTATAAGCACACTCGATAAATTAAAGCTTACGTTACTTAATAAAGAACCGTGTATTTTCACGAATGTAAATAAGACGGTCTTCATAGCGTTTTACGTAAACGATATTTAAGTTATATACTATCACTTTAATCTTTTTAAAGCGCAAGAGATTATTAACGGTCTTAACAAAGCGTATAAGATCGAAGCGATAAGAGATATTAAATAGTTTCTTAATATAAAAGTCGCTCGAAACCGTTAGCGAAGAACGTTAACGCTTATACACGACGCTTATATTAAAAAAATAGTTAAGAAATTCGAACTTACGGACGGACGCTGCTTAGCAACTTTATTACCGTTCTATAAATTAATTAAAAATGAAAAGATAGCTTCGCGAAAGCAAATAAAAGAATATTAAGAAAAAGTTAGATCCGTGTTATATATAGCGATTATGTTACGCTCGGATATAGCTTTTATAACCTTTCAACTCTTTTACTTTAGCACTAATCTAAGCGCAAAGCACCTTCGAGCTATAAACTAGTATTTGCGATATTTATTTAGCTCGCGCTTTAAAAGCATTTAATATAACTAGTTTAGCAAATTAAAGCTAGTAATAGCTTCTAACGCTTTTTACGCCGATAACGAAAAGACAAAGCGATCTTTTTAAAAGTATATTATGTTTTTGTTCGAGAGTGCGATCTTTTAAAAAGCTTTAAAGCAAGATACAATTATTATATCATTTACTAAAGCGGAGCTTCTTAGCATAGCCCTTATAGTAAAAGAGACTATAGCGCTTTAACGATTTTTCAAAGAGCTGCACCTTCGATTTACGGCGCTTTAAGTAGTCTATTATAATAATCAATAAACGATTAAGCTTATAGCTAATAAAAAAGAGCGTATCTTTATTAAGCTTCGCTACGTCGATATTCATAATATATAGCTGCGCTAAAAGCACTTTAAAAAAAGCTTTTAAGTTCAATATCTTTTTATTAAAAAGATGCACGTTAATAGTCTTATTAAGAACTTGACTCGACAGAAGTTTAAGAGCTTTATTAAGCTCTTGAATTTACAAGACGCTCGCGCGTTAGTCGAGAAGCTTTAATAGCACGCATATGCTATTCACTTATTATATTTTATTTTTTTCATTTATACGTGATTTAAAAGAAAACATTTATTTAACAATCTTAATCGTTATTCTATCTTATCTTACACGCTATTACTTTTCGCTTTTTATAATAAAAGATCAATTAAAGCTCTTAGCAATCTCTTTACTTCAGCTCGGCGCTCCGCAAGCGTTATAACAACGGCGAGCGCCGCCGCGAAAGCGGCAAGCGTAATAACTAGCGCAAGAAAAGCGACGATAATAAATGCGACGAGAGCTGCGAAAGCGACGGGAATAACAAAGGCGGCTAGCGCAAGCGCAAGGGCTGTTATAGCAATAGATTAGAGCTTTTGCATAAAGTCCGAAAAGAAGTTCTAATCAAAAAAAGCTGCTTAGATTAAATTATTTCGTAAATCAAAAAGCTTGACTTACGAAAAAGTAATATGCTCGAAGCGCTTCGAATCACCGGATTACGGTTCGCTATTATAAGATTATTTAATTTAACAAAAGCTATATTCAAATTGAAAGTCTTAAAAGCAAGAGCAAAACTTGCAAAGCTATCGAAACTACTTTTAAAACCTTTACTTCTACTCGTTAGACCGCTTGCATTACTAGCAACACCTTTTGAAAAAGCAGCATTTAAAGCGAGCTATTATCGCATAGTATCTCGAAGACTTCGGCGAACTCTTTATATAGTACTATTGTCTTTAGCGCTTACGAAGTTATCGAAAGCGGTATTAGCAACGGCAAAAGCAGCGGTGCAGTTGCTATAGCTACTTTTAGTACACCGAAAACAGCGTATAACGCTCGTATCGCAATTATAATAGTCTCTATTAGACTTCGATATGATCTTACTATTAATACACTTAATGCACTTTAAGGCTTTGATAATCGTTAGCATAAGCAAGCGCTTAATAAAAAAGTTTAAAAGAAAAAGCGAATCTTCGAAAGTAAGAGTGCGTAATATAGCCGCCGCAGCCGCCGCAGTTGCAGCAGCAGCAATAGCTAAAGCAAAGAAAGGATTCTTTTAATAATCAGCATAGATATATTAATCTATCAAAAGCATTTACTTTTAAACGGCTTCGGTCGCGCTTAACGATTTTACTAAACTGAGTTACTTGCTTAAAAGGCATTGTATAAATAGATAAAGGTTAAGTGTTTATTATAATAAAAACGGACGCGCTCTTATTTATATAGCAACGCGACAAAAACGGCGCTAAAGACTTCCGTTACGTAATAAGACCGACTTAAAAAAGAATTGCATTTTTAACTAACACTTAATTAACAATAACAACCGCTATTTGTTTATTTTAAATTACGATAACAATCTCTTTTGTTTACATCGAGTTTAAAAAGCTTAATTACTTATTTTTTTCTTTTTTGTTTGCTTGCAACTCAATAGCTGTTCTACTAACTTAAAAGGTGTGTTATGCGGAACAAGCATGCTTTACTTAAGCTATATATGATATGTCATATGACCTCGCTTAATAGCGCTTTTAATACACTAAAGCTCTTAAGTACATATACATAGATCCTAACGAGCTTCTTAAATAGAATATACCAAGCTTCATTCAATCTACAAAATCTCCTCTTGATCTTAGTGCTGGTAAGCACTACAGAGGATGATATTAAAGAAGAAGCTAAGATTAAAGAAGAGGCCGAGATTGAAAAAAAGAAAAAAGGTTACTATACTACTATCGAAAACTCTTTTATCAAATGACTTTTATTACGCAACCTTATAACGCGTATTTATCGCATTATCACTTAGCTTACTACGCTAGCGATATAAATCACTCGATCTTTTTAGTAGTGACGACGAGATGACCTGCATTATAAGTGAGATCAATCTTAAAGAGCTTATCAATGCTTTAAGCAGCTAATAAACTAAAGTTGATGCTTAAAGCAAAGATAATACATAAGATAATGCTTAAAGCAAAGATAAAATATAAGATGATGCGAAAAGCAAACGAAAAGGAGAAGTAAGCAAAAGAGGCCAAGATCTTATACTTATAAACTATTTTAAATTCATATATACAACGTATAAAAATAAGAAAATATACGACGATCTTAATATATACCGCGCTTTCGCATAGATCGAGCAATCTAATAAGATTAAAGCTGAAGCAAAAGCATTAGATTTAGCGCTAGATTTGCTCTTTCTTTTATTCTTTTTAACTTTTAGCTTAAATATAAATACGATATACTAATCTCTACCGCGTCTTGCGCTTTTCGCACTTGCTCAGCTACTTAAAAGACTTATTAAAATCGAGTGCGCTAAATGCTATACTTTCCGCTTATTATTATACTTCCTTATCTTAAACACTAGTCTGCGATTTACTACTTGCTTGGATTGCTATTATTAACGACGCTACGAGCTAGCTAAAGAGTACTTTATTCGAGATACAGCTCGAAAGGGTTTAGTTAGTAATTTAATAAATGTAATAATGTCGGAATATACAGCGAAATTAACGGACGAACCTTATTAAAGCTATTTGAGTTTGTTCCCGTAAAAAGAGCTAGATAGCTTATATATTTGTTACTACTGCCGTAACAAACGGATCTTTTAACGCTTATGTGTTTTAAATAAGCGTATAAAAAAGGCTATTCAAAGCTTAAAAGCTCACGCACAGATCGAGCTTAAAGCTTATCGGTTAATAGCTATAAAAGAGTATAAGCTCAACGAATTATAAGATGTACACTAATGATTTATTATTAAAAGTAGTTGTATAGCTATTAGCAATTAATTAAAGGTAAACAATATATTTAAATTGTACGATTAATTGCGTTAAATCAACTGTAACTTTTATAACTTCTATAACTTTTATAACGTTAATAATTTTATATAATTATGCATGCTAAGCCGATAGATTTAGTAAGAGCGAAAATTTACTTATGTTACAAAAGTTATAGAAGTTATAAAAGTTATAAGAGTTATAAGACTTAAGAGTCACAAAACATAAGATTTACAAGCTATTATATAAAATATTATATAAATATACTGCTATACTAACGAATGCGGCAAGTGTAAGAATTTAACTAAGCACGGACCTTTTTGAAAAGTGAATTCGTCTATTACTTTTCAATATTTATTATAACTTAAATATTCTTTCTAACTTTAACGTTAATATTAATATCAACTTTAACTCTAACTTCAACCTTAACTTTAACTTTAGCTATAATCACAACTACAATTATAATTATATTAACAATATAATCTTACTCCGCTAGCGCAACCTTCGAGACGGACCTTATATAAAGCGGGTAAGTCGGCCGGATCCGGCTTATAAGCGGCAAGTACAACTACTTCGCAAGTAATAATAGCTGCTTTTATACTTTTACCTTTTCTTTTAACAAGCCTTGCCTTTTACTTTACTTGTTGCTTTAATTAAGCCCGCGGTATAAGTAATAAGTGATACACTTTAATTACTTACGCTAATATTATATATAAATTTAATAAAGACAGCGATGATAATAAAAATAAGCTAATAATCTTTCGCTTTGCTTCTACCTCTTTCTTTAATAGCGTCTCCGCCGTCCCCGCCGTCTTTGCTGCTGCCTTGCCTTTTCTTTTCTCCTTTTTTATTATAGATTTAGCAATAAAAGAAGTTAAGAAAGAAATAGAAAAAAATAAGGTCATAAAAGATTTTAAGCCCGTAATATAAGTCATCTTAAGATCAAGTAATACATTCGAGCTACTTACGTTAATTATATATATATAAATTCGAAGACGACGACGATATAAATAAGCTAATGATCTCTCGCTCTCTTTCCTTTTCTTTCTTCGTCCCTCCCGTGCTATCGACTCTAATCAGCGCCCTTTTTCCCGCTTTTATATTCGCTCCGGCTCTTATATTCTTCGCCGCCGCCGTGCCCTCTTTTGCTACGCTACTTATTACCTTTCGCTTTACAAGCTTTAAACCGATCTTACTTTTACAATAAAGCACAAGCGTAAGTATATTTTATATCTTTCATTAATACTTATTAATCAGATTAATAAATGTTTGCGTCTTCGCCGGCCGTTAGTAAAAAGACCTCTTTTATTAAAGCTTAACTTAAATAAGCTTAATCGACTACTGAGTTTGCGCGTCTCTTTTAAGCTTAAACTACTTAAAAGAAAAACAAAAACTTATATACGCCTTCCGCTATAAGTATGTCATAGTCGTATAAGCAATCGGACTTATTAAAGCTCTTTCTTTTTCGCCGTGCTATTATCAGCTACGTCGATCGTATTATAAAGACCGAATTATAAGCATTAACTTCTTACTTTCCTTTATCTTCTAGCAACTTCGAGCTAATATAAATATATAAAAGTGAGCTAGTAAACCCGCTTTGCGATGCGTGCACCGTTGCTCGCTAAGAGTGCTAAGCATACTCTTTAGCCGATAAAGCATAAATATTTAATTCTAAAAATGCGTATGCTCGCTATCGATAAGGTCTTCAAAAGTGTACTGCGTCTAAGAAGAGCTTACGTAAAAAACGTAGACCTCTTTCTCTTACTCGAGACCTTCTTTTCTTTCTTTTTCCTTTTTTTCTAAGTGCACCTTTAATAGCTAAGTTAAAGATTCGGGTTTAAACTCCTTTTAATGCATATTCTTAAACTTAATAACTCTTATAACTTTTATAACTTTTATAACTTTTATGACCTTTATAACCTTTATACCTTTTGTAACTTTTGTAACCTTTGTAACTTTTATAACTTTTGTAACTTTTATAACTTTTGTAACTTCTGTAACTTCTATAACTTCTATAACTTCTATAACTTCTGTAACTTCTGTAACTTCTGTAACTTTTATAACTTCTAATTTTTTCGTAATATAATTAAGTATATAATTATAAGTAATAAAAAGGGTCCGGGGTCTCCCCGGTTTAAAAATAAAAATATAAATAATAAAAGGAGGTTTAAGAGAGTCTTGCTTTTATAATAAATTATAAATTCCTTAAGTTTTATTATAATAATACTTTTATATATATTTGGTCTTATATTACGATTTATTTAATAAGTTTAATATCAGGCGGAGGACCAAGTTCAAAGTAATATTATTAACAAGCTAATTATTAATTATATAAAAATCCAATTTTAATAATATATAAATTAATAATTAGCTCGTTAGTGACACTACAGAGAACTTGGTCCTCTGCCTGGTAGGTTTAAAGTAAGACAGCTAAAAATAATATATATAAAGCCGTTAAAAATAAAACAAATTTACGAATATTTATTAATTTTACTTAATTATTATATTTATTTATTATATTTATTAATCACATATGTTATACTTTACAATTACATTGCATTACATTATAATAAATTAAAATTACTAAACAAAACTTTTAATCATGATTTTTCGCAATTTCTTAACTAACGCTATATCTTTGTTTTGAATCGTTACTTGTTTAACGTAAATAGCATATAAGTTCGTCATTAAAAGTGATTAGTAAATCGATTAATAAATCGATTAGTAAATCGATTAATAAATAAACATATAAATACTTACTTTCAAACTCTTTTACGAAGAATGCTTTTAAAGCTTTTTATAAACATTTTAAAGCACCGCTTTGAAGTTTAAAGTCTTGTTTAAAATCGTAAGTGATCTTTCGAACAAAACGTTAAAAAAGAGTCTTTTTAATAAGAAGCTCGATGCTTTTTTAATATCGTCGGATCTCTTTTAACGCAATAGCTATATAAATCAGTAATTGTACTTAAGAATCAATTTATTAATTGATTGAACTTACTTTTTAGCTTATAGCGACGGCGCTTTCGTTAGCTTAAACCTTTTTTTTCGTATTAATTGCAGACTTCTTAAGATACTTACTTTTTTTAGATTTTTAACGAAAAGAAGTTTTAGCTGCTGAAAGTGATTTGCTAGCTGATAGAACGGAGCGAGCAGCTTTAGCTATCGAAAGTGATTTTTTAGCTCTTTTATATTAAAAGAGAAGAATATCATTTTCACTTGAGTTTTCTTTATTATCGCTTTGCTCTTCTTTATTTATATTACTATAAAGCATCGTCTTCGTCGCGGTTTTTATAATTATAATTAAGCCCGAGACAATAAGAGATCTTTTAAAAGCTTTTTACGCGAAAGCTTTTTTAATACGATTGCTAGTAAAAGCAGAAAAAGGTTTAGTAGCTGCAAAA